AAAGTCCAGGTAGTGTTGAGTCATGGAAAGGGACAGACAGCCCCTGCGTCTTGGATAAACTTCTCACACTACCTGATCTGGCACATGGCAGGAAAGAGAGGATCATCTGCAAATGTAGAACTTAAGATGGGAGGTAACTTGCCTGGGAAGCAAGTGCCCAGAGAAAGCAAGCTAAAGGTTTCTGATTAAAAGCCTTGATTCCCAAGTGTTGGCTCAATCCATAAGGAATAGGGGACCTTGGGTTTAATTTTGTTGCAGATGAATGCTACATGGGTTAGTTCTGCAGACTGGGAGACCTCAGTGCAAGCGAGGGATATTGCTGTGTATTTCCTCTGGAAGGAAATCAAAATGCTATTTCTCATGAATTCAGAAAGGATGCAGCTGTAGAACAAGCAGCTGACTCTCAGCTTTAGTTGTGGCATTGAGTTACCAATGGTAAGAGAAAAGACTATTTCTGTTTTTCTAATGCAACCTTTAGCATTTTGATCCTTCTGGAATTAGAGGATGATCTTGAGGAGGGTCTGAGATTTTTTGGTCTCCACCCTATTCTGTTAGTGCTTTTGGCATGAATATAAAGAAAGGCAGGAAACACTTGGAATACTGGACTGTTCCCAAATGGCAGGCACCTCAGAACCAGTTGTGCTTTACTTGAAGGTGCTGAGTGCTCACGTAGCCCAGCACCCAATGCCAGTGCTGGGGGCTCTTCTCTCGAGACTCTGCCTTTGAATCAGCCACAATCTTTGTGCATTAACTGCAGCTCTCCCCCTGCAGCCTCTCTGGGACTGGGAGAGCAAACATTAGCCCTCTTCTCTTTTGGCTTTTGGCTCCGCAGAATAACTTCACAATCACCAAACAGCTTCCATTCAGCAGCACATGATTCCCAGTTGTCTGCGGAGAAGCCCTGTGTATATTATCATAGAATCATATGGGGTTGGGAAGGGACCTCTGGAGATCATCCAGTCCAACCACCCCACCAGAGCGGGTCTACCTACAGCAGGTTGCACAGGAACTTGTCCAGGCGGGTTTGGAATGTCTCCAGAGAAGGAGACTCCACCACCTCCCTGGGCAGCCTGTTCCAGGGCTCTACCACTCTCACAGTAAAGAAGTTCCTCCTCACATTTAGGTGGAACTTCTTATACTCAAGTTTGTGCCCGTTTCCTTTCGTCCTGTCACTGGGCACCACCGAGAAAAGACCAGCCCCGTCCTCCTGACACCCTCCCTTTAAGTATTTGTAAGCATTGATTAGATCCCCCCTAAGTCTTCTCTTCTCAAGACTAAAAAGACCCAAGTCCCTCAGCCTCTCCTCGTAGGAGAGATGCTCCAGGCCCTTAATCATCTTTGTGGCCCTTTGCTGTGCCCTCTCCAGCAGTTCCCTGTCCTTCTTGAACTGGGGGGCCCAGAACTGGACACAGTACTCCAGATGGGGCCTCACCAGGAATATCACAGCCCCTGCCACCAGGGCAGCTCAGACAACCTGACTGTGATTGCTGACAGTCATGGTTATCAGAGGAGATGGTAGGGCAGGGATTCACCCGGCAGCAGGCAGCTCTCAGAGCTACCATTCGTGTCACCTGCAGAGTTGGCCACATCCTCTGGATGATGGAATTGTTTAATATCGCAGGAACCAGCAGGCATGGCAGGGCTGCTCAAAACACACTAATACAGGAAGCAATACCGTTCAATGCCAACTGAAACACTTGATGGGTTACACAGTAATGAGAAAGGATGGGAGTCCCTTTTGCCCCAAGATTCACACCACTGCCAGCCACATTCTTTCTTTGCAAGACATTTCTTCTCTTTTTATGGCCCAGCGGTAAAAGGTTGTATCAGCATGGACTGAGAATGACCTTCATCCAGCCCGGATCAGCACGGTCAGAGATGCTGGGTTCAATGCACCTGCCCTGCAGAAGGCTTCAGCATCTGCCACCGTTCAGCCCTTCAGCACACCTCCAAAATAGGAACTTGGCAAACAAAGCTAACAGAGTGCATTGCTAAGCAGAACATTCTGCCGAGTCCCAACACCAGGACTGCATGTTATAGGGCACTTGCCAATTCCTGAGTCAACTTTATTTATTATACACTAGAAAGGTCATGACGAATCTCAAAAGATAAAATCTGTGTCTGTCAAGCCGCCTTCCTTATTTTCATTGGCCCAGACCCTCACGTTCCACACCAACAATAACAGGACATGGGTTCAAGAGGCACCATGAGTGCAGCTTACCCTGAGATGGCCCAGGCTTGTTTTGCATTCTTCTTAGAACTGATCCAGGCTGCTCAATTCTCTTTATTAGGACTTCTCTTTTTTTTTTCCTGGATGCAGTCACCACACTGCAAAAGAGCCTTACATCCCTGGGAACCCCAAAACACAGGCACAAGCTTTCACAGCCCAAATGATGCCAAATGCCCAAATGATGCAGCTGCAAGTTCTCCAGCAACATGAAGTATCCAACTAGGATATGCTTAACTCCCATTTAGAAGTAATATCCTGGACTAATACCAGCCCAAAAGACATCCCCATGACCTCATCAACAGCTGAGGCAGCAAGATACCCCATGCACATGGATTTTCTTCACTGTCATTATGAGCTGTTATCTAAGCTCCTTGCCGTAGGTGCGGCAAAAAAAGAGCGCTGCCTAGGGCTCGGGGTAAATCCTTGGCAAGCAAAGCCTGGGCTATTGCTGCTCCAGTCCTGTCAGTGTCAAAGCCAGCAGGTTTAAAGACTGCCCTGATCCCTGTAGAAGTTGCAGTCACCTCTCTGGATTGCAGCTGGACACTCCCAAAAACCACAGTCCCAGGTTTGGAGTTCAGTACAACAGGCTCAGACCACACAGTATGGGTCTGCACTCCAAATAACCTCGTCTTTACACAGTTCATTCTGAATCTGCAGACTGAAAGCTCTTTTCCCAGTCCTCTCCTTTCACTTGCTGAAAAATCACCACGCTATTCTCAGACCCAAACTTGCCTTAGATCATTTTATTTGATGCGTTGCAAGGACTGAAATTCCCGAAATGAATTTCTCATTTTCTGAGAGCTGGGTAGGACTTGCCTATGACACTGCAGGATCTCAGCAGTGAACACAGCAGTCACGCAGCAGAGAAATGATACTGCTTGTAAGAGCGGTGCATCTTACAGCCAAAACCCCTCCAACAGTCCCATCCACTGGGCCATTTTTGAGGAAACCTCTTCAATATTCAGAAGTGCCCCCCTTTTTTCTCAGAAAGGCAGCGAAGAGATTGGGAAGTCAAGGAAAAAAACAGCTCCACTTACTATTCAGCGAGACTCCAATCTGCTGTGAGTTGCATCCTCTCATTTCAGGTACTTGTTTGCCGCATCAGAGAGGTGGATTCCTCCCAGCATCACTCCAAGCTGGCAGAAGCCTCTCTCCCTCCCATGAATGAGCACATGAGTAATCTCACTCCTCGCTTGGTCACTTCGGTCAAACGCAAGACAGTGGAAATCTTTCCTGTGAAAGTAAATTGTGAGAGCCACAGGGCCTCAGAAAAAGGTGCTCAGTGGTTTTAACTCCCTGAAACTTCTCCTTGAAACACATGATGGTCAAGAGCGCAGCGGGCACTTGTATGCACTATTCTTAGCAGCAAAGGCTTCCTGTCTGGGGGCAGAAGTGACAAGGATGATCCTGCTGCTTTAAATACTGTGAAAAGCTTTTTTAGCCAAAAACATTATCCACCCATTAGTGGGGAAAACACCATCCTCCATGGTCCCATCCTACTTCACCAGAAATGTCATCAGTTCCCAGTGTGCTGCAGTAAATGTTAGACTATTGAGCTATATTATCCTCACACAGCTCTCAGTCTAGAGCAAAAGCCCTGCAAAGTCTAGTTTCTCTGGGTGACTAAGCCAAGGTGCAGATCTCTGAGCAGAGATTTCCAGATCAGGCCAATTGTGTTGTTAAACTGGGAGCTCTCTCTGTTCTTTCAAGTACTCGCTTTCTTCCCGGGGCCAGGTAGGGCCATTGTTCCCCTGGGCTCCTGCAGACACCCATTGTTCTTCCCAGCTCCCGGCCTTTGATGCTGCAGAACAAAACGCACAGTGTTTGTGAAAGGAGGGAAAAATTAAAAAACTTTTCAATTACACAGTTGGTTGAACAGCTTGGGCACTGCTGGCCAGCCAGCAGCAGGGTGCCGGCACCCCTCCACAAACTGGGGCCTCCAGGGAGCCCTCCAGCCCAGCTGCAAAGTCAACCCAAAGGGGGAATGACCAGTAGCTGACGGTTATCTGGTGAACTTTAATTTCATCACTTCAACTCCAAATGCTCCTGGATTGCACAGACCTTCACTAACCTCCTCACAGATATGTTTAGTAGCTGCAGCTGGAGAAAGCTAGAAATTATTCCTGCTTCATCCCATCAGCATTGCTCAGAATTGGCCTGAGAGACTCCACAGCAGCATCTAGATTCACTGCCTCCATCTCCAGGTTAATTTGGTTGACATCAGGCTGGGGCTAGCTCAGCCTGAGCAGCATTGGCGGAACAGGACAGAGGTCTGAAATTGTGATGGTCTTACAAGGAGGTCGTGGTGCTCTGGCTGGGCCACAAGGAAGCAGAGCCAGCAGGCTGGGATGCTCCAGTCACAGCTAGAAAAGTTGTGTCATGGTCCAGTGTATGGACCCTTCTGGTTCTGCTGCGTAACACGCTGTTTCTGACACTGCAGTGGTTTGGGGAAATACAGTGCTCTCCCTTGTGTTCAGTACACAGCTATAAACATTTTCTCTTACTGCCAAGATGACAGATCCCAGGAAGTCAGAGATGTGAGGGGTCTTCTAGTCCATCTGGATCTGTCACCTTAGTCCTTGCTAATATCTTCTGTGAAAGAATAGGCAGCGCCAGGGAAAGAACTCTCCGGAAGGATCAGTCTGTGGAAAAAGCTAATAAAATAATAAGAAAACACTTGAACAAAAAAGGGCCAGCCAGACGGAACTTCCTGGGACAAAGGCACTCACACTCTCTTTTACAAATATATTTTATTATTTTAATGCTTATTAAGAAATGTAACCAAGACAGACTCAGCAGCACCAGCGGCTCCTCACTGCCCAGCAGTCTGATGACTTCACAGATATGAAAACTTCACAGATTCAAAAAAAAAAAAACAAAAACAAAAAACCAACAAACTTTGGTCAACGCACTTTAAATACATTTGCATGCACAGATTCTCCCACCCCCTTCCCTCCCCTCCCACTGGTAACTGACAAACAGAGGGAAAACAACAACTATATTCATAAAACACTTAAATTAAAAGAGTAATTGTTTTATAGTGACAGCGTGTGCAGCAGGGCGTTCATAGTGTCTTGGCTTGCGGACCACAGGGACAACCGCTCCACAGGACAGGGGCAGGGACACCAGCTCCTGAGAGAGAGTTGGGAAAGCAAAGGACCTTCTCAGATCAACAGTTCCGGTCTGGATTTCAGCACATCCTTGTGAGAGCAGTCCCAGCAGACAAATAAGACAGGGAGTTACACACAACACTGCCTCAGTTTTGGGATTCTCAGTCTGTCAGGGTCAGTCACCTCTCATGCAAATGAGGAACTGGTGTGATTTTAGTTACTCTTGATGTGTTTTACTGTAAAGAAGGCCAAAAGCTCAGGGCTAGAAAGAAAAAACTCTGCTATGACTCAGTGCAGTTTGAGACCCAAAACAAACTGGGAGAAAACTACTAGGCAGCTAAACTTAGCAAACACCACTGGAGAGTATTCTGCAGTTTTAATGTATGGCAGCTCTGCTACAGCATGCTCCTCCTTCCCGAAGAACACGGCTGGAGTGATGTGTTATCAGCTAGGGCTCCTGTTCATGAGGCAGAAGGGCTTTTGTTACACGCTCGTGAAATAAGACAACGCATCTGAAAAGAGATAATCCATAAGAGCCATCTCTACCTCAGTCACACATAGACCATATGAAGTCAGCCCTCCTCATGTCAGGCAAGGCTGCCCCCCTGCAGCGACCCCAGGAGAGCTGTAAGACAGTACATCCTTCCCAGAGCCCTTCCTCAGCAAGTCACACCTTGGTTTCATGCCAGCACCATCTGTGCAATCCCCAGAACGTTCCTGCTCCCCTGAAATCCTCCCAAGCACCTACCCTACCAATCTTCCTTCACCACCAACATTCCCCATCTAACCCAAACCCTCCAGTGTGCTCCCACACTTCAGAGACCTTTCTGTATCCACCAGCATCCCCTGGAGCCTCTTTTCAAAGAATGATCAAAGATTCATACTCCATAAAACTCCCAAGTCCATCGGCACAATAAAGCTTCCTGGCACCAGCTGGGATCAGTGGCAAACCCCTTCTGTCTACAGTAACCCCAACTGTCCCACCATGCCAAATGGCTTCTCTGCTCAAGAGCTGAAGTTCAAGCTTGGCTTTGAAATATTACTGATCCAAAAGAAACTCTGCAGGACAACGCTGCAAGAGCATTTACTTGCACACACAAATTTACTTGCCCTATTGAGGAGAGCGCCCCAAGAAGAACTCTTGATAAAATTACTCCTGGCAACTGATCAAACTTTACTTTCTCCAAAACCCTATAAAGCAAATAAATCCTGGAGCCTAAGAGTCTCCAGGGAATGGTGAAATTCATGGAATGCCCTCACACCAAACGAGGAACCACATCTCTCCATGGGTCTTGAGCCATTTTTAGTAAGATGTTCCAGTTCAATGAAATTAGTCTCTTCTTACCCCAGCTCTTACTCTCTGGACCCACTGCACCTTGGACTCCCAAGGAGGTCTTCTTCAGCCTGTCTTGATGGTCACCTCATTCTTCCCTTTGTCTTGGTACCACCTTTGTTTATCCAGAACAGCTATATTTCATCTGCTAAACATTCTCCAGCTGGAAGGAAAAGGGGAATACGAGTGCGGAGGTTAGGAAAAAAAATTTCTTAACTTTAAATTTTCTAATGTTCCCTGCCCTATGTAGTTTGGGAGAGGTACTTTTCTCAAAACCAGAGCACACTGCCAGAAGAAGGAAAGAGCACACTTTATTGATGGGACCCTAATGCTTTTTTTTTTTTTTAAGTAAAAAAAAAAGCAAGCTTTGAAGTCATGATCCCTAGGAAACAAGAAATAAGAAGTCCAAAATTCTGTTCAAAAGGCTCATGCTGGCCCCAACAACTGCTTCGGAAACATCTTCTGAAGGTCCATCTCAGACATATGTCTGCCAGAAGGCACGCAGCATGTGGTGCAATTGCCATCCCTTCCTTCCTGTGACTACAGACTTCCAATTCTACATGAAACACGCTGCCTCCTTACCCCCACTGCACTTCCTCCTGCACACATTCCCCAGCCCCTTCACACACCCTTTTCATTTCAAATCTGGATCACTAATATTGAAAGGGACTGGACACACTTGGGGGGCATCTCAAACAGCAACAGAAAAGCTAATTTCAAGACATCTGGAGACCCCGTAAGCTCGCATCATGATCTGGTTGGGCAGGAATATTTTCCAGAGGGACAATCCTAAGTTTGTCGCATCAACGTAGATCAACTTGATTCTTGTGGCAACCAAGCAAGAAGCTGCCATAATTGAGTGTGAAGAAGCTCAGGAAGCAATAGGAAGCAACCAATCCCCATCAGCTGTTGAAAGTCTGATGCAACGTGGCATAAAACACGCCTTTACAATGGCAAGTAAAGCTCAATAGGAGGCACTTCTGCACTCGCGTGTGCTCCAGCACATGAGCAATGCTGGTATTTTCCCACACTTCCTTCCCTGCTCTGCTTCTTTGTTATTGACATGAATACCGGATGTAATCTTGTGTTATTCTTAGAAACATTTCAGCTCCCAACTGAGGCCTGAAGAGATCAGACCCCCATTTTCCTGCCTGAGTTCCTCTGCCACTGTTACAGGAGGTCAGAGGAGCCATCCCACAAATAACCTACAGAAATATTCCATCAAGAAAGATCAAGAGTAACAAGATCCCAAGTCACCCTACAGAGGAATTACCTATGACGTCTGTCACAGGGAAATGGCTTAGTGTTTGTTAATGGTGCTGGAGTGATAATCCACTCCTCTGACGTTAGACTACGTGGAAGAGCCGTGCCAAGAAAGCAGCAATTCAATTAAACTGTGAAGTCTATTGTTCTACAAACTTGCCTGTCTTTCTGCTAAGGATCATGGTGGCAACCACATCTTTTTATCCCTCTCACAGTAAGCTTTGTCCTAGCCTGGAGCAGTCACATAGTTGAACACCTTCAGCATTATAAACTACTCCCCACCTTCATGTAGAGAGACTGGCAAAGATTCTCCTCAAATAAAACTGACTTTTCATTTTAATAGTTCACAATATTTAAAATAAACATGGAATAAGAACACAGAAACTTAACCTGCTTTTCCTCAAATATCAAAATCCAGTTCCCCTTTCCTCTTCTGAAATGTTAATGGACAGACACAAGGAGAGGCCAGGTTTGGGGGATATTTCTGATGTTTTCAGGTAGGGAACAAGCTCCAGGTCCCTGGAATTACCAGACTCTTAGTTTTCCAGTAGGAGCATTACTGCTTGTTTCTCCAGAAGGCTGGTGGTATTGGACATGGATTATTTTTCTGGAACACAAAAACTAGACAACCTCTAGGTAGAATTCAAGCTGATGTGGCATTCTGCTGTCCTTGAGCTACCAGGCTTCATAAATTATACAGAAAATTATCAAACTGCTGTGGAACACCTATACAACAAGCCTCATCAGAGCATCCCCTTGCTGCAGCACGGATTTGCCTGTTCTCTTAGAGCTGATTTCCACTACTACTGACGCCCTTCTGCTTCTTAGAGTAGGAGCATCTTCCAATCAGACAGACCCAGCTCTCTTGGCCTCTGCATTGCAGCAACACATCAGGCTTCACAGTAAAGCACATCAGGAAAAAAACTGAAATCACAGGAGGAAAGGTGTTTAAATAGAATTCACTAGAATTCAAAAAAAAAATTAAAAAAAAAAAAAAAAATCTTAGCTATATGTGTGTGTGTTCCTCCTTGCCCCAAGAAAGAAGGAAAAAATCCCACAGGCTTTTGAGTGAGGATGAAAACAACCAAAATATGAAAAAATAGCTCCTCTCACACACATTTGGAGCCATGGAAAGAATTTGCATTCTAGGAGCTCAGGAGGACAAACACAGAGACGGGGCGGGGGGAAGCAGATGGTGCCCACCAGCCTACAGACAGCTCGTCACAACATCTCGGGGCACGACCACCCTGGTGACAGAGACCACAGCCTGGCCTGCTTGTCTACTCTCTGCAGCACCCAGTCCTGCTAACAGCCCTTTTACTAAGGGAAATCCATGTTACCGACCCCGTTTTCATTATTTGTTAGACAAAGTGGAGAGCTATGAGGTTATATTTGCCTTGTGCGTCTGGAACATTGAGCGCTCAGGAAATGGATATGAGTTTTTGCCCATCTTTCATAACTTAACATAAAGTAATATTATCAAGACAAGAAAAAAAAAACAAAAACCACCCACTCGAGCAACCTGTTGCAGTTTAAGCTTTAAAAACACGAACTGAAAGACAAAATGCCATGGTTGAAGGTATCCAAAGTTCCCACCATGTCCGTTCCCTCTCCAAGCAGCTGCTGGCATCCTTCCTGACCAACAGATGTTGCTCTCCCCCTTTTGTTTGTTGCAAGGCCAAAGTACTAAAAGGCCCCTTCCCTGTTTCTCCTTGCAATTCAGTGAATACTTCCAGCCATGATTTTATTTCTGTTGGTAAAGACAGCAAAACCGACATAAAACCACAGATACACAGTACAGCATAACGTCATGATACGCCCTGCATCAGCAGAGTCTCCCAGTGCTGAACTCGGAGTGCCATCTTTGACCTTGGCACTGCTCCTGGCGACAGGTCATTGATGGGTAACGTGTCCCTCCTTCCTTAGTCCATTCCAATGGTCTCTTGGCTTTTCTCCAGTCTAGTATTTAGGATCACCCCAACAGTCCTAGGTAGGGACCCCTTTCTCCACAACGATCTGAATGCACGCCTCTTCCCCTCCCGCCCCCCAACCTCCCTTTCTGCCATGGCAGAGGTCACCAATAGAAAAAAAAAATAATTCTACCAGGAATACTTTGAAAGTCCCATCAGGAAACATCCGCTGCTGCGAAGGGTGCTCTTTCCAGATCTGAGTAAGACATCTGGGCGTCAATGAGCTCTTCACTGTGAAGCTCCTTGTTCATGCATGCATCTGAGAGAATCCCATTTTTGCAGGAATGTGGGAGATGCCCATTTGTCTCCACGTCCAGAGCATTTCCATTCTGGTGCCACTCCAGGCCACCTTTGCATTTGTTTAAGTCCTGCTTTTCAGGATCCCTGTGGATCTCTCCATTGGTGTACACCTCTAGCGCATACTCACTGACTCGTGTGCTGGCGTTCTCTGCATCCCCACCATGCACGGAAGTCCTAGAGCTGGATGTTCCTGCCTTGAACGGCTCCTTCCGGCCCAGGATGTGCTGGCTGATGATTTTACGGAAGGTGTATCGGAACTCCCTGATTCGGTAGGCATAAATTAGAGGATTTACAACTGAGTTGGCATGAGACAAGATAATAGCCAGATACATCAGCCAGAGGGGAGCATGGTCACAATCTGGGCAAAAAAGGGTAAAGCAGTTAATAATATGTAGTGGAAGCCAACAGACTGCAAACAACCCAACAATGATGGCTAAAGACTTAGCTGCATGGACTTCCTTCTGCAAAGTGGAGCGAGAACGTTCCCCATGTACCATCTTGTTCTCCATCTGCTTGAGCTGTCGCCGGGCTGCCATGAAGATTTTCAAGTAGATACCAAACATGAGGAGGAGGGGCAAAAGCACACAGGCAAAGAAGTTATAGTAGACCATGTACTCCATGGTGACCACAGCCTCAAAGAGACATGCTACCATACTGTTGCTGCAGTTGATGGGAGAGGACTTATTCAAACCCAGCTCTTCGATGTGGGAGCGTTTGTGCCACCCTAGCATTGGTGTCAAGCCGATGATGAAAGATAATACCCAGCAGATGGCAATGATACATTTAGCTCGAGAGCCAGTCACCAAGCCATTGTACCTACAAAGCAGAGGAAACAGGAATTACATCAGTATCATTCGAACAAGCCCCTGACACCCCACCAACTTCCCAATGGCCCAGAAGACAGCAATAAAGGCACTGCTTCTTCAGATGGGCCTTTGAACTGCTGTGTCTGTGGTGACACTGTATGCCACATATTTCGCCCCTTTCCTTTAGGCAGTGAGTAGGTGATAGACAGAAAAGCAGGGAAATTAATACAGATTTCATCTGTGTTCCTTGACTCCACCAAGCCACTTGCTCATGCACATAGATCTTGCAGCCTGGATGATCAACAGCACTGCCCTGACCCTTGGTGATGCAGACCACTGTGGCTCTCTTGATGAAGGCTGAGGTAGCTCCTTCTTTCTTGCAAAGGAGCAGCCTTGTAGCAAGGAATTGCTTGGTCTGTCTTGCAGTAGATTTGTAAGCCAAATAGCACGAAAGAAATCTGAGGCACCGTGCCATCAGCCTCCTGTCCACATTCAGGTGTGCTCCAGGGAAATTCTCTGACTCAGTTGTAGAAGCCAGGCTGGCATCGCCTTGCACAGCACCTCACTCTGCTCCACAACGGCCCTTCCAGGAAGGCCAGAACCACCAACCATCCTTAAATAACTGAGACAAGTCAGCAGTTTTCCTCACCAGCCCAGCTGAGCTGGCCCCATGTCTTTCTCAGAAGGGAAGAACTAAGCTGACAGTGCTCCGACTACAGGTGTGCTGTGGGCTGCACTGCACACACCAAAGGGGACTTCAGTGGTGGAGGTATTTATATGCCTGACTGAAACCAGTGCTCTCAGCAATAAAATCTCAAATATCTGTTGAAAAAGACAATAAGCAACATGGTAAGAATCTGACAGTGCAGCCAGGGACATTGGTTTGTTTGAAATATCGTCCGGTTCCCAAGGCCTCACAGGTTACTGCGAGTCCTGAGCTGACTCCACCAGTTCTTCTCTCTGAAAATGTAAATCAGGGCAACAGTTTAACATTTCAATGCAATTTCCTTCCCTTGGTAACGTTTAGCATGGAAAGTAGATGGCCGGATTCCCACATTGTCCAGCGTGGGTCCCACACTGTACTTGACCCCATGTGTCTGCGATCGGACAACGGTAGCGCTGGGCTCCCAGTGTTTACCCAATGCTCCCTCTCCCTCTGTCCCCAGAATTCTCTCAGCAAACAAACATTAAAAAAAAAATAATCCAGCAAGCCATAGAAATATTTCCATCTCTCAATGAAATAGTCACTCCCACAGGTTCATGCTCCTATCCCAATGCAAGTTCAAGACAGGGGAGGAGAGAGGCTGCTTTTGCCAGGCACAGCACAGAACTGAGATCATGCCCTAAATCCCTTCTGATGGACCTTGGAAAAAAACTGGCTCCACACAAGACTCAGCAGGCTTGAGTCCCTCTTCCTCACTTGCATTTCAAAATCAGAAAAGAGGGAGCGGGTGAGGGAGCCAACGACACAATTCCCAGAACCCAAAATACTGTGAAATCCTCCAGAAATGAGGGAGGGATTCAGGTGATTCTGAGAGACAAAAAGGTTTCTCCAACAAATAGTGGATCCTGCTCAATGCTTAGGGGGTGCTAAGGGCACAGCGTGGATGGTAACAGGGAGCTGCTCACTTTCAGACCTCATCAACACAACAAAACAGCATCTGTGCTTTGAAAAGTACACTTCAGGGAGCAAGAGATTGGCTGAAGGCACTTGAAGCTTGGAAAAACAACAAAAAAAACCAACCTCTCAAAACCCTGCAGCCCTGGAATGGGCTACATCTTGTCAGAGGAATTTTGAAATTGTGCAGCTGTTATCCCACGACTAGAGATGTCCCTTCCATTCCACTAAAAATATATTCATTACTGCTCCAAGCAAACACCCCCCCACTTCTCCCTCCCTCTTACCCTCTGGGGATTCCCATACAACAAACTTTACAAGGCTTAGGAACAGCACTTAACCCAAGGAGCCGCCTTCTTTCCAGCTGCAATGTACTGTGCTGGCAGTGGCAGTGACCAACCTATCAGTGCCTGCATTTCTGTAACGCCTTGCTCAGTATCTCCAAGGGTTAAGAGAGAAAGCTAGCAGCATCTTGTCACATAGTGTGTGGCACTACGTTGGCCAGGCACCCATTGAGAAGCGTCCATTCACTTGGGAGAGCTTGATTTTGAGGACTCGTGTGAGACCCTGTTGGCTGACTTGGCTGAGGTAGGGTTATTGGACTTCCATGGACTCATTCCTTTTGTCCAGTTAGAGATGTCACCAAGCCTTCACTGAAGAGTTTGTGCACCTGTCTAGGCATCTTTCTAGGCTCACAGCAGCCAGACCAAAGTGACTCTCTGGATCCCCCAGTGCTGTGCAGCTCTACACAGTAAGTTCAGGGCTTCTGGGAAGCATCACATGTACTGCAAGTTGCTGGCACCCGTGCAGGAGACACAGTCTGCTGAAAGGAGCTGGTCACACCTACAGCCCATGTTCTGCATACTTGGCGGGTGACTTTGCAGCATGTCTGATGTGTCCAGACAGCGCTGGATTGCCTGTGCACAAGCAGTTCTTGTGTTTTCTGGAAATACTGGACTTGCTACACAAACAACAACTACTCGTGAAATTCCAGACACAAAGAACATTAGGATGAGGGGTAATGGCTTCAAACTGGAAGATATATTAGATCTCAGGAAGAAATTTTTCACTATGAGGGTAGTGGTGAGACACTGGCCCAGGTCGCCCAGAGAAGTTGTGGGTGACCCATCCCTGGAGGTGTTTAAGGCCAGGCTGGATGGGGCTTTGAGCAGCCTGGTCTGGTGGGAGGTGCCCTGAGCTCTGTGTCATCAAGACAAGGATTCCTGCAGAAAGTGTAGTACCTCACTAGTCTGATTCATAAACCATGAAGCTGGGTGGAAGACAGAGCTGGTACAGGAACCACGGGGTTCCTATACCTCAGGTAGAAGTTAAAATCTTTCCATACATTGTATGATATCACGGAACTGTCAGAGTTGGAAGGGACCTCTAAAGATCATCTAGTCCAAATTCCCTGCTAAAGCAGGGGATATGTAGCTGGCCTAACTCATTGTCACAGCATCCAGTATCCAACCAGCCTCTGGTCACAGCACTGCACATCTTGGCCAGATGGCTCTGTCATGCACAGAGCACATTTCAGTCACCTTTACAGCATCCCACCAGAAAGCCTGTGCTCAGCATTGAGGGTACTGAGCTTTGATCTGAATTCCAGCTGCGCTCAATGGTTTTAACAAATCACTACAAAACACTGCTCACTGAACACATCCCTCAACAGCCTCCACCTCAGGCAACTGCAGCTACAGAGGGGCCAGACAAAAGGAGGAATATTCTTTCCCTGTTACATACATCTGGAAATGAGAGACACGTACAATCCCAGTTCATCCAGGAAATCTTATGGCAGAGCAAGAAACGAAATCCAGATCTTCTCATGCAGCACCAAAACAACCCTTTCCCAGAAAGTCAGTCAAAAAACTTTTTGCCCTGTGAGCAGGTGCTAACTGATACTCGTCTGTGCGATGGAGACTGGGTAGGGTGGGATCCCACAGGTGGGCACAGGGCTCTAAGCAGCAGAAGCAGTAATGGGGGGCTGGCACCATTCTTTTGCTCGTGCCATAATATCAGCCTTCAGACTAAAACCTTGGTAACAGCAAGTTTGACTCCCCATGATGCCATGGACTCTGGCTGTGCTTTCAAAGCCATGCCTGTGGTTGCTCAAAGGAGGAAGTGAATTCTTCTTTCGTATTAGGTTGAATCTGCCCATAATCTATTTGACACAAACATGAGCACATGTAGGAAATACTTGTCATAAAGTCAAAAGGTTTATGGTGAGCACAGAAAGAAATAAGTCTGGACATGGCTCAAAGTGACAACAAAACATTAAATTCCCGATTCACTGATTCAGATGCTCATATATGAGCACTTGAGAAGGCAACCCTAGAGAATTAAAGCAACTGCTGAAACGGATTGTTCTCGGCACAAAGGCCCCTTCCATGTCCTAAACTTTATTCAGGATTTGTGTCCATCTCCCTTATTCTTCCTGCCCCAGACTTTGAGGACCCAGTTCCTCATGCCCAGCACCCCTAGACTCTGGCAGAGAAACATCCCAGTGCCACTCAGAGCCACAGTTTCCATCGCAACCACATGGGATAAATCTGTCCCAATGTTCCAAGAATAAGGGAGCAGCACCCTAGTACTGCTTTCCCAGAGAAATATCCTGGGCAGCTTAGGCAATCGGTCATCTCCAGCTTTCCACCAGAGGAAAAGGTCTGCACTTCAGCGAGTTGCTGCAGTTGGTGCTGTACGACCTGCGTGTTTATGCCACAGGTGAATACCTGAACCCAGCACACAGAGCAAGCAGTAACCTGAGAAAACTTTTCCGTTTGGCTGCAGGAAGAAACATTTCTCCTCTCTTCCCAGTGCATGGCAGCTACCTGTCCTTCCCCGTGGCAGGATCTCTACCACAAATGCCCGCACAGCAACACGTGGCCGGGCACTGTGCCATCGGAGCATTTGCTGGCACCAAAGAGCCTGGAAAGCAGCAATTGTTCTTGGCCCGTGACTTCATCCTGGCCCTCAGACTCGCAGCCAGTTTTGTTTAGAACACCCAGGGGTTTTATATCAGCGAGTGCAGGTTTTCAGCTACCTGCCACCTTAGAGACACAGTTCGGATTTTATCCGAGACCGAACAATGGCTCGGACTCACTTCCTTTGCAGTGCTTTATTGCCCCTTGCAGAGTGTTACATCTGTATAAAACCTGGCAGAATTCAGCAAAGCGTTTCAGAACTTTCAAAAAGGTTATCAAATTCTTCACAATGTTTTCATCATTTGAAAGGTAGAACCCATAAGACATTCACGAATTAGTTTCTATGTACTTTAAAATTTTACCTATAGATGTCTTTCCTCACTGCAGTTTTTTGCGGGAAGGTCTTTTATCTACAGAAAAATCAGTCTACAAGTAACTCGAATTATGTACTGAGGTGTCCAAAACCAACCAGTATCAGAAATCCCACTCTTCTGCCTCCTTAACACTGACAGTTTATTTGTGTGGGAGTACACATTCACTGCGGTATCCACTGAGACATGCTGTTACCCTCCTTAGGAGAAATCAGATACAGAACAGTTAAAAAGAAAAAGAAAAAGAAAAAATAGGTTTGGTCCTTTCGGTTTTGTTAGAGCGAAGAAAGTTTGATTTATTATTTTTTTAAGAGCATCCATCTAATGAATATTAGGAATGCCTGGTGTTACCTTTCTTGTCCTCTGAGGAGGAGAGAAGAGGCTTTCCCAGGCATTAAAGGATGGGGTGAAAACGTTGCTTCTTTAGTAGCAGAACTTTCCTTCCAATGGTTTGACACATTTTTGAGACAACCAGATATTAGAAAAAGAAAAAAATGAGGATGTGAGCAGTCTAAATCATATCACATTTCCCTCTTCAGTTAATCAGCTTTCACTTTCTCAGCATGTATGAGGCCATAAATCTAATGCTTATTCACCCATAAATTCTAAAGGGGAAACACAATTGATGAGTTCTCTGCTCCTACTGTAGAAGGACAAACCAGTAGAGGACAAGGAGGGGGATGATCCCATGGATCTACCTGCGGGTTTCTGGATCCAATCATCTCCCCTGTTCCTGGGGCAGAAGAGGGTGTGCTCTGTTTTTTCAAAAACAAAATAGTGAAACCCGTACAGTGCCCAGCACTGATGAAGTCTGATTTTTCTAAAGGACTCTCTACCTTGGCTGTTCCAGGAAATTAAATTTTCAAGACAATATAGTTACAATGATACCCCCAAAAATGGGCAGAAATCCAGATTTTAAAAATCCTTTTCCTGGCAAGTCATCCTCTAAGCAATGAGAGCGCTTAAACCGTCAGCAAAAGTCTTCAGAGTTAGCTCATGAGAAATGAATTAAAGACATTAGCCCTTCTCAAAATCATTTCAGAGGCAAGCTCCCGAGGGCTACTCTACACATGTTCCTTTGTACCATTTATCATTATTTAGGTTTATAAACTGAAACCATCTATATGTAGAAGTGCAGAAAAGTGGAGACAGTCCAGTTTGTAGGCAACTAATATCGATAGAGTTTTATCTGCAATAGAATGGAATACTTATTCCTCACAAATACATCAAAAGTAGAGGTACGACTATAGGTTTGGAAACCAGCAATTAACGGCAGTGTTATAGCAGCACAAGATTGCTGAGGCAAGGCTTCAGGAAAGACTATGCTGTAGTGGGTCCACATGGAAAGGCAATCTCCGCAGCTCTAGGGAAAAGAATGCTTTCTATTTTTGAATGGGAGGTTCGTGCTACTTAACATAAGTGCTGGATGACCAAAGTATTCGCAAGAGACAAAACGAAATTGCACAGGTCAACACATGCGATTTAAGCTCAACAGGAGTGAGGATGTCCAAAAACTCAAACTTGAGAGCACAAAATCTGAAAGTTGTTCCATTTTTGCAGCCACATTTCTTGTTCAGGATAGGAAGCAAGTCTCTCCATTCCTGAGAGCACACTGCATCCTCCCAAGGACAAGACGGGAAGGAAGGAGACTCCTACACTTTGCCTGCACCGGCCTCTCTTGGGGCTTCCTCTACATCTTTTGAGCTTATTGAATGACTCGGAAGCATTGTCACACAGAATTCAAACCCAGCCCACACAATGCAAAGCTGCTTTGCATCCATGCTCAGATATATTCCATCACAGCAATGTGCTTCTGGAAAACTGAACTGAGTAGCAGCCCCTGTGCCTGTGGCAAAACTTCCCCATCAGCCTCCCTGGCTGCACACAGAGCAGCAGCGAGTCAGATCAGCTTTTCAGTATTGAAAAACTCCAGAGTAGAGACCACAGAATAACCATCTGCAGGTCTGGGCTGGGACAAGCCTCTGCCTTGAACCAATACATGCTTTGCTTCCAGAGGTAGTGCCTAAGCTACTCCAAATCTTCCTAAGGCCCATTTCTTCATGTCTGCTGCTTCTCCTCCCTTCACATTTAATGGACCCCCAAAAGAAGACCCCCATCCACACTCTCCAAAAGCTTGCTGCTACGGTTGCAGCCAGAGTCCCCCATTCTCCCCATGGGGAAGGAAACAAGTAGACCTCACCCCCTTTCTGCCCTCCACCTCCACTTCCCTGCAGTGATCCTTCTGGTGCTGTTGGCCACAGCTCAGAGCGCAGGTTATTGAGGTTACCACGTGAGCCTGGCTAAATATGGAACGGCAGCCCCAAGGCAGCGCCATCACGATGCCATGGGCACCCACCACATGAGGACAGAGACGAACTAGAAAAAGGAGTGACCAGAAAATCCAGCAGCCAAGGCAGCCCTCAAGACCTAGAAAAGTTCTTTCCAAATTACAAGAGAAAAAGGGCTGATCCTCATTTAACTTTTCCTTACTCAATTCATGTCCAGATCTGTTGTTTTACTGATATTCATCCCTCACCACCCTAGCCCTGCTCTGTCCCCTGTCCTCCCCCCCCAACCCCCAGCTTACCTGAGGGGTATGCGGATCGCAATGATTCTGTCGATGGCAATGGCAAGGAGACTGAAGATCGAACTCTGAGTCAAGACCAGGACGAAGCAGGCAATGAAAAGGCAGCCATAGAAGAAGGCACAGAAGCCAGTGCTGATGGTGATGGCAAAGGGGATTGCCAGCATGCCCACGGCGATGTCAGCAGCAGCCAGGGACACCACAAAATAGTTGGTGACGTTCTGCAAGTTGCTATTCAAATAGACTGCCCAGCAGACCAGGATGTTCCCCAGGATGGCCAGCACTGCGATGATCAGTTCCAGGACGATGTAAGCTACATCTGAGAGGAAGTCTTCTTTCCCATGTACTAGCATGGTGAGAACGACCAGGCCAATGTGAGAACGTGCCAGAAAAGCTCAGCGTTCATATCTGCAGAGCACTGAACAGCCAAGACACTTCAAAGCTGCCGGGGGTCTGAAGAGCACTCAGCTGCCAGCCAGTGAAGGTTGCTCACACACACCCTGTTCTCCCCATAGCTGGTCAAGACCTCTACAGTAGCAGGTGTCAAGAAAAATCCCCAGGTCTTTCCAACTCCAGCAAAGCGGATTAACCAGAGGCAGAATAAATCAAACTCCAGCAGGTGAATGGACAGGAGAATACCTCACGTAGACATACACTGCACCCAAGGCCCCGAAGTCCATCAGGCAACACGACACAGAAAGTGTATTGTATGGCAGTGCCACATTGGCTGTAACTTTTTGTTTCCTGTTGACAGTCACACTGCTAGTCACGGCTTCCTGTCATGTAGATACCTACTACCAACATCCTCTGGTTCTCTTTTTCACCTTTTCCCGCTATGATGTGGGAAATATTCTCTCCAGCTGAAGCAAACATTCGACTTCTTCACTTGTAGTTTCCTTTAAAACAAAAAAAAAAAAGCAAAACAAAACACTAACCACATATGCTAAGTAATCAGCTCTACGGAGGAGATGGAAAAAGCAAAATCTCATTAAAGTGGCACATTAAATTGATAACGGATATTAAAGAGACCTAGAAGAATACATCATTGGCAAAACTTGCACATTTTGTCTATCCTGAAAGCTGCAGGGCCAAACCCAAGGTTGAGGAAGGCAGTTTTTCACAGTGGTGATGGGAAACAAGGGATGTTTTGTTTTCGAGGCTACCAACTGAGCTGGCACTTCAGCAGCTGCTCAATAGTCTGCCCTGAAATACGAGAGCCCCGCTAATTATGTCTTGGCAAGTGCTGTGGCTGCACAGAGGAAAGGTGGAGGAGCCTTTTTTACATACACCTGTCTCCCTCTGACCACGAACACAAGACTTGAGCCATCAGGTGCTGCCCACCCTCAGGTACTTTGCCACAAAAGCATTCTCTGCCAGGATGCTGCTCAGCAATGGCATGAAACTTCATTCATAAGGGGGTTGTGTCGCTGGCACGTGTGGTCACCACCCTGTTGCCACCACCTGGTCCTTCCTTCGAGAGCACAGACACTGGAACCTGGTCAGCAATGGACAGTAGTTTGAGGCGAGTTGGATAGTGACATCTTTGAGGACCTTCCCGCTGAGAAAGCACATTCTCTGCAGATTCCCCTCCTGCAACATCATCGTTTTTGTTCACATAAATCTTTATCCTATAAGTAAACCATTTATTTGTTATACCTGCATTGTCCATAGGTGTTCGTTGTACCCACAGAGACAGGTCACCACTGTCCTTTAATTACAGCCAGCCAGAAACACATCCACCAAGACACACCTCCCCCAGAAACTGGGACACGGGCACAATGCCGACATCATCTCTCAAGCATACATTCACATTCCTGCAGTATCATGCAGGTAAATCTGGGACTAAAGTTGGTGCCTCTTGCAAGGGAACACGGTCCCTACAGCTGCCATTTCATACCAACAGACACACGGCTACGTGCTGGCATGCCTGGCAAGAGTGTGGGTCACCTCGTACCTCTGCTTTCAGATATGGGGGCATTTCACCACTGCTTCAGCTAAAAATATAGCAATGGAGAATACAGCTCCCTGAGCTTCATTGCATAGTCAAGAGATAATTGCTTGCTGTCCTAACCTGTCACTTCCAGAGTAGGTTTTCAACCTTATTTAGCATGCTTTAACAGTAATATTTTTGTCATTTAAGAAAGCAGCTCCTTGAAATATCAAATGGCCACCAGAGAGAGAGACACAGCACTAACTGATAAATCACTCGAGCTCAGTCTTGGATGCAACATGAACCTCCAAAACAAAAGATTTTTGGGACCCCGTCCACAGGTGATCTGTTGTGATCTAACCCAGCAGGGTTTCATGCCTTCACAGTTCACTCTGTTTTCAAGTCAGAAACCTAATTTGTCAGGATAAAATAAAAGGGTAAAGACAGTGATAATAAAAGAAAATATGATTAACTTGTGATTCACATCTGATCTCAGGAATATAATCTAATTTTAGACCTTTCATTGATTTAGAGCTATATTGCTAATGCTGCATTTGAAAGGAAAGTGAATGATTCTTGGTGGTTTGGATGTGCTTCAAAAACCTAGCTTTTTCTCCACCTCCAGCAATCTTGTTTATGTGTTTTGTTTGGTTTGTGTGGAAGAAATCAACAGAAGAGATTAGTTTGTGATCTAGCTATTAAGAGGAAGATAAAGATCATTCATTTAATCTTTTCTAAAGAACAAAAAACCCCAAGAAGTCTCTATATTGTCTATCAACCTTTAGCAAAAACTATGCTTTTCCATTGACCTCCTAAAGATTGCTTCTACTTTCTTGAATTTCAGGGATATCAGTGATATGCTCCTACATCACTCTGCTAGCATCTGATTGTCCATTACAAATCCCAATAGGTTTGTTTCAAAGCAGTGATACTGAAAACTAACACCAGCCCCTCCAGCCTGACTTCCAGGGAAGTGAATTAGAGTTAATATAAGACAGAAATAAAGAAAATGTGGAGGGAGAGAAAACAGAAAGGGTGAGGTGAAAAATAAACAATGCTTTGTGCATGTGTGTGAGCAAGAAAGGGGAAAAGAAAGACAGGAAAAAGTTGGTAGGAAAAAAAACCCAACCAAGCAAGGGAAGTAGTGGGCAAAACAGGCTCATAAGAGAAAGGCTTTCAGAGGTACGGCACACGGCTGTGCCAGGAGGCTCGCAAATGGGTGCAAGCTCCCATATCCCTTGGCATCAGAGCAGCAGAGACAGCAATGTAACACTCTGGCGATGGAGCTGGGACCATACACCTCTCCTCAATATCCTCACATGTTTCCACACAGGTCAAGCCCAAGAAAAAGCTCCAGTGTCAGGACAAGATTAGGAAAAAAAAAACCCAAATTACTGTGATATACTTGGGCCAAAACAACTGCTGTGTAAAATATAATCCCCATAAACATCCCCATAAAATACTCTGAGATGAAGTCAAAAGAAGTGAAGAAACCGCTTTCTGAAAGGAGCCAGTCTGGAAACTGGTCACGTTAATCCTGATGCTGAAAGGATTTACTTAAAAGTCCTGCTATGTTGCTCTTGCACCTCATATTCATACCACACACCCCTCAGTGAAGAGGATCAAAGTGAAATTACTGGGATGTTATTCCCCATTTCAGAGCTTTCTTTAGTAGGATTACGGATCCATGTTACTCCCAGATGCACTTTGTTTAACCCAACTCTTTCAATGGCTCATCTCAAACTCATTTTCCAACAGGACATGGAGGGGAGTAACAAACCTACGCTGCGGAGGTCCCCCGCATACTGATCATCCAGCACAAAGACAAAGCTGGAATTGCCTACAGCTCTGTGTGTAACCTGAAAAATCACAACACTGGAATCTGAGGTTTAATGACCACATTACATACTGTTTTCTGACACAACAGAGCTTTTAACCTTCTACTTCAACTGCTTGTTTCATGGTCTGATGTTAAATTTGAATTTTTAATCTCTGAATTTGTTTAGTCCCTTCTTTCCCCTCCCCCTTCACAAACAGTGGCCTGATTCTTCAACCCAAGCCATTTATTCCAAAGCAATCTGTGAGATGTTATGTCCAGAAGAGGACAATATGTCCTTCCACCCTCTGCTCTCAGGTGGGCTGGAAAACACTTAGCGAGTTCTGCAGAGCCAGCACATCTCAGAAGAGAAATGACTGGAGCTGAGCAGGTGTCCCAGACACGGAAAAACAACATTTTGTGCCTGCTTCAGTGCCGGTGCTTCTGCAGGAGCCACTGACATTAGAAAAAGCAATTATTAGTCACACAACCCCAGCACATCAGAGGCCTCACAGAAGGTGCCACAACACAGGGGGTTTCCATGTTCAACCCAAACTCACCCACCTCTCCTCATTCACCTCTTTCAGTGTCAGCCCGCTACGGCTTTCACCCAACATGGTAACAAGTCTTTAATTGTAGAAGTATTTGCAACTTGCTTTAAAACAAGGACAGGCTCAGTCTTTCTGCTCATATGACTAGAAATTCACTGCACAGGGACAAAATGAAATAGAGACTACCTAGAGAACATGACATGTATCCAGAGGCAATACAAAATTTATTATAGAATCATCTACTTCATCAAAGACCCAAAGGCTCAGCAACTAGGTCTGACCAGACAAAATTAATTAACACCTGCTTTACTCACCAGGGAAGTGTATATTTAATATCTCAGGCCCTTGAGGGATCAATATTGTAAGCTTCTTGAAACTTAAGAAAAATAACCTGTATCACAACCTTCTGGACAGCTACAATTAGTATTTCTTCTTAAGCCCATGTTTTATTTTGTTAATTGGATTAATTCCTTCTTGATACCCTGGGCTATGTTCCGGCCTTTTCTCCATTATCAAATAAACCTTTTTTGCCACTCACAAACCTGTAAAGCTGCTGCTCTGTTCGTTTTTAGTGACTTGGAACACTCTGTTCTCTCTCATATTTCACCCCCAATGAAAAACTGCTCCTTGAAAATTCAATAAAGCATCTGAACAGCACGTTCCCATGAAGCAATTCACCACTGGAGCCTAAGCAAGCTTTTGTTTGGCATCTCCAGTTGGCTTTGAACTAAGGTGTTGCCCCTTCTCTCTCCTGAGTGCCAAAGGCATTGAGGTGAGCCCTTGGTCCTTGCTTGGTTCAAATCACCCACCTCACACAAGCCCTTTTCCTGCTCTTGGCCCCTTCAGGATGAGGTCCCCCATGCTGGGCTGGGATGCCCAGGTCACACTGCTATAGAGAAAATCCAGCCTCTGCTCTGCGTGCCAGGCTGACCTGTATGACACTGTGTGTGACACTGCAGTCTGACAGCTGCTCTCAAACATCAGCAAAAATCTCCAGGGGCTCAGCAGCCCTCAGGGCACCCAAAACAGCCTATGGGCATGTAGGTGAGAGGCTGCAGCTTCCCCAGGCTCCAGAGAGGATTGGTTTCTCTTTGTTTGCTTCAGGAGGGGGTAAGCAAGGCAGAAGGCAGCTCAGGAGTGTGGGGGAGTCTTCATCAAGGCTCATTCCACAGATCACAATCTTGCATCTCCTTTTGACAACATGAGCCTTCCCAGGTACCAGCCAGCACAGATTACCTCACTCCCTTAGGGAAAACCCTTCAATTCACACATGGCTGAAAGCAGAAAAATTGGTGCTGCTAAATCATTTGTTTCCTACTTTGCAAAGCCTGGAGGGGGAGATACTTGTCAGTTTTTATCCTCTCTTTGAAATCCCTTCAGCTCAAAGAGAATCCCCCTATCTTTTAAATCAAAGACTCTAAGAAATCTTGTCTCTCCCCAATTCTTCAGAGGATCAAGTCACAATAAATAAGCCAATGTGCTCACAGGCAGTTCACAAATTTGCAAAACAACTCAGGCTGTAAAAGGTAAAGAAAACAGCTGTCCTTTCAGGGAGAACCATAGGGAAGGCAGCAGTAGCACTTCTCTGCGTTGCTCAAT